ATGGAACATTCCTCCCAACGCTTCTAAAACTCAACTTATAATATTTCAACATAATCCTAGAGCTTCCTTTTTGAACCTTCTATAGTATTGTAGGTACTGTTTTCCCATGAGTTTATTGTACTCGATTACTATATTATTCTCTCAATACGCGAAATCTCTGATATATGCGGTTAAAGCATTTGAGTTAACTTATTTCTTTTTGTTCAAGAACCTACATTTGTAAACAGCAGTCAATGTTAATCTATGAACTAAACCATACGTGACTGTAAAATCGATCTTTTCTTATGTGGTATTGACACATCGATGCATGTTTAACTTTTCGCGGCTGTCGGATTCAACGCGCCTACGTCTACGGAGCTTACGCAGAAGTGATTCGCAATTCGGTAGAGCTTGCAAAAAGTGTTTTGAGCTGATGTAGTTTAGCATTTGTTCGGTACGGTCGCGAAATTTTTAAATGATTGATACGTGCGGTAAAACAACTAAATTGAAACAAAGCTCAATAGTAAAATAAGTAGATTATCTAGGGAGGAAACCAAAATTAATCAACTTGCCAACATAGGTTATCACATTTATTTTGGTGGCACTCTTTAAATGATAATAAGTCGTTTTTCTCGCTTCGGTTGTTTCGCACGGCTTTCGGAATTCGCGCGGTCTTCGTAACTTACATAATTTAGATATTTCGTTCGAAACGGATTTACTTATTCAATCGGTTTACTACGCGAATGTATCTATGCGCACACGACACAGAATTTTTTTTTCATGACTATCTTGAAACAATACACACGGAATCCAGTGTTCAAGCGGCCAACATAGGCTAGTCCTTCTGCTGTATTGTCAAAGATAGAAGCAAAATTTATTTAAATGGTTCAAGTCTTGAAAACTAAACTGTCACGCAGCTCTAGCTTGAAACCCAATGAAAAAAATTCAATTGTTATACTGACATGCAGGCTTTTAAAATACTAAGGCAGGAACAATGTCAAAACACGTAGATATATATCATAATAATTATAGCTGTAAAGTTACTGTAGTAGCTGGAGCACCTAGATTAAAATTAAATGTAATTTATTTTGAATTTAAAACATATAAAAAGTAAAAAATCCAATCTCCCTGGGCTTTGGCAAAACCTTGAGGTAGTTTAATTAGGCTACCAGGTCCCAGGGCTGATCTGGATCTTTACCACATTGGAAAGATGCACACTACTGTTGCCAGATCAGTGTTGATGCTTACCAAAAGTGCATTTGAACCCGCTTATAAAAGCATATTAACAGATTAATCATCACCGTACATTGTTTATTGCTCTGTACTAATGATAAATAATTAAGCACAGCATTTAATATTTTAGTAGGAACGCTGGATTTAGTCGCAGTGGAAATCAATCCTTTATTGAATTGGATTTATTTCTATGGATATGCACGTTTGGAAAGTATCATCACAAAGATTCTGCACTCGGTCTACAGCTTGTGGGCGGGAAGCGTTGTGTTTGTTTTTGTTTTTTTTTATCTATTTATAGAGTCAATTCTTAGAAATACGAAGCGAAAGACAAATCAAGCATTAAGCACAAGACCTTTAAGAAAACTAACACGAAGTCTAGAAATGGCAATGTTTCATTCAAAACGTCAAGTATTTCAAGAATATCGGGTGATACCAATCTAATTGTATTTAATCTTATTTTTGTGTAGTAGGATATTCAATTGAAGCGCTCCGTGTTATTATGAAGCCCTCCCCTTGGCTAGTTTTTAACCTGGACGTTGGTGGGCGGGCCTAATATAATGCCTCATAGTGGAGCGTTGGAGACGGTTGGTTTAGGTCCGGCATCGTTGGCTCATGCCGTGGCGGAGTGGCGTCATTAGCTTGCGATGAGGATTACTGAACTTCCCCTCTCTGATGAACCATTGCATGAGAGAACCGAAGTTCTAGTCTGAAGTGATATTATCACACCTGTTACTCCTTTTTTTAAGAGCCGCGTCGTGGTACACAGCAAAAAAATAATTTTGATATCACATCAAAGTGGATGCACTACAATCATGTCGAAAATTTCATGTAATTTTTATGACCACATAAATAAACAAATGCAGTAAAAGCAGCGTAATGTCAGTTCATGCATTGTATTAATGATAATTTTGTCCTTTTTAGCAAGTAATATTACACCATATTTTCGACATGATTGTAGTGCATCCACTTTGACGTGATATCAAAATTATTTTTTTGCTGTGCATACGTATTTTTGTGGTGCGACATAGTGGAAACGTATGAGTGTAGTTGGAGCATATACCCTATGTAAATTAAAAATCAGCTAGGAAACTAACTTCAAAGTGAAGCATTTTAGTCACTTGAAGGTGTCACCTGGGTCGAACTGATATGTAATAAGTATAGGTCAAAGTCAAAAACAACTTGAAACACGTTAAATTTTGGATAGCATGCACAAGTGCAGGTACTTAATAAAGCATGCACAGCTAAAAAAAAGTAGTGTAAATTTCCGTTACTATGATGCACATAAATGAAGCGTCATATATCATACAAGTTTAGATTAAAGAACGCGTAAATTTATGAGACATGTCATGCTATATTTCATATATTGTATGCAACTGTCCACTTTTATTTGCAACATTTCTTGCAAGCTGCTAGTTTACGTGAAAAGGAAGTTTACATGTATGAATGTTTGCATGCATGGATGTTTGCATGCATGGATGTTTGCATGCATGGATGTTTACATCGCCAGTAAAATTCAGAATTTTTTGGTGTGTGGGTTATGGTTGATTGGGTGGATTAGAGATTTCAATTATTTATTAAATTAGGCTAATGATATATCATAATCATCAAACGAAAATTTAGACAGCCTCATGACATTAAGTAGATTGAAAAAGGAGTTAGGATGCGGGGGTCCGCTTAGGGAGGCAACTAGCTTTTTTATATATTATCTGTTTATTTTGATGGTTGCTTTAAAATATCAATTTGGTATATATGTGAAGGAATGAATCAGTGGGAGATGGATTTAGGGTTTCTTTTCATTTGGCAGCACAAATCTAGTACTAGGTGTCATTTCCTCAAAACCCCCCAATAACCGACCTCTTTAATCCCTTCCTTTTCCCATGGCGTTCAAGTGGTCAGCATACACTATTCAGCCATTACCCTTCCTTTATCCTCGGCTTTGGATTGACTTGCGCTCCCATTGCCCCACCAAACGCTGCTAAATGAAAATGAAAAATAAAGAGTAAAAAATCCAATCTCGTTCATGAAAATCGATAATAGCCTAGGTTTTTTGTTGCTGCCTTGGGGAATACCTGAGTTGTTTGTGAAATATTCGATTTGATTCGATTTTCACACAGAATTTTCAACTGTTAAGATACGACATAAACCAACGAATGGAACCCTGAGATACGTCGAGCTTTTCAAAGTTTAGCATGCAGTATAGCATGGTATACCCGATTAAAAGCAGCCTTAAGATTAAGATTAAGAGTGTAAGAATGTAGTTCGATCTAGATCTGTTGGGTCAGGAGAACGGTCGTATTTCTAATCAGTAAATTATTCGTCGTTTATGATGATTTCTAATTCTTAAGAACAGGCACTGAGCGATGTGATTCCCCAATTTTTTGCTTGTTCCTTTTCTTGTAGATCGGAAACATGAACGAAGATGTACAACGCGTTTGAAACTCGCCCTGCTGTATATAAATATGGAACAGCTTTGATAGCGGTGTTGAAAGCTCTGCAGAAATCAGTATGACACAATTTGCAAATAGAATTTATTTGTGGTGGAATATTACTTATACCCAGGCTAATAACTTGCCTACAATTCGCATATTTCCACTTTTTATTGTGCATATGACGTTTACAACTAATTATGACTTTTTGTACCTGTCCACAGTGGCATAACAACGAATACGTTTTGAAAAAAAAACCGTATTAATTTGTTGAAGGCTATTAAATTAAAGGATATCCTGATCATTTTTTTGACTACGCTATTCAGCTTTTCCAATTCAGAATTCCCGCTTTTGTTCCAAATTTACATCATTAGTTTTATTCGTACCAGGAAATTCTATTCAATCGTTCGCTAGGTGTACATCACCTTGAACGGGTAATTTGGTGACCATTATCACTGATTTAAATTTAATTTAAATGGTATATTCGTATAGACTGAGTCCAGTATCTCTCGGACACTGAATTAGTGAAAATGAAGCTCCGGGAGTATTCTGCCGTGCTGTTGAGCACCACAGTTTTGCTGCAATTGGTAGGGTCAGTGATTGCGCAGGATTATTATTACGAGTACTATTACGCGGATGAAACAACTACGACTTCCAGTGCGATAGGTTAGTGTAAATATAGTGTGAAAGTGTAAAATTATTGAAAACACATTTTTTTAGTCACAACATCTACTCGCAGTCCAGTAACCACCACACGCAACGGTAGATTGGTTGCAACAACAACCAAACGCATGATGTCCCAATATCGTAAGTTGTTTTGCTGAAAACTTCAGGAAGGATCAGGAAAATATAGTGATCTTATTTTCGCAGAGGCATCACGACCAGATGTCATTGTGAATATAATTTCCGACATGTATGGCATACAAAGTATTAAGCGACCAAATAGTAGACCAGTTGGAGGAAATTACTACTCAGGTTATTCCAGTCGTTATTCCTCTCGATACGAAAGTCCATTCGAGTACTGGTATTCGCCGCGTCAACGTGAGTACAGCTTGAAATGTGCTTATTGGAAATTTGTTAAAAATATGGATAACATTGTTTTGCAGCCTATAGACCAGCCGGCAGACCACTACCTCCGCCGCAACCTCCGATGATAGACTACTATGATGGGCAATACAACACGGATTACTATGATTATAATTATGATTCCCAACCACCGCCACCACCAAGGAACCGTGTGGAAGCTCAACGGAGGGGAACAAACCGAGCCATTTTTAATTTCATGTTGAGCGCACTCGGTTCTAGGCTAAATTAAATCTAAATCATTTTTTGTGTGAAATCTAATCAGAAAAAAAGTTTATTTCAACAAATACAGGCAAGTTAGAAAGGTCCACAATTGCGAACACAGTGTCCTTGCATTTTCGATTGGTTTACATCAGTCACACACCGGTTTTGCTCTTTATACATGGTTTCGCTTAGTGTAATCCGTTGACTTCTGAAGTAGCCTCGAAAGCGAGTCGTTCTGCTTCGCGTTCCGCTGCAATTTGGGCATGTTGATGTGCGATTTTTTCGTACAGTGTGAAATGCTTGTCTTTGGCCTTGGATACTGCAACTGTATCTCTAGGCAGCGATGCTTCCTGTTTTGTCATGAGAGAAAAAAGACAAATTTAAAACGCTTTGCATATAAGATTAATTCTTGACGAAAATACTCACGACAGTCTCATGGTGGGGGTTGGCGTGTTCTTCCGCAATCTTTGCATACAACGCAAAATGTTTATGCGCAGCACGTTGAACTGCTTCGGTTTGCTTAGGAGATTTTGGTACGTGACTCAACCGTGGGTAAAATCCATGAGCATCAGCGACGTAATCTACCGTCCGAACTTCATTTCTGGGATCGACATAGGAAAACGATCCCTGAACGACGCCACTTCCATCGGAAACTTCACTGTGCGTACGATCCACATGTCCTGGGTGACGTCCTGCTGCATAACTGAATGCGTAGGGTCTCGGTGGCGGTGGATGGGTTGCGATTTCGTCCTCAACGACAATCTCCTTGAACAAGTGAGACACATCGCAACACGCCAACCCAATCAAGATAGTCACTAGAAACTGATGCACTCAATCAATATATATATTTCAAATATGTTACATCATTCGAAAACAACAGAAAGGAACTTACAGCTAGCGACGCGAAAGACTGCATACTGATGACCAATGTTAAGTCGCTATTCAACAAGCAAGGAATTAACTTCTATGCACAATGAGCTTCTTAAAGCTACTGACTCGTTGGAAGGCAATAGGTTGCACTAGAAGGCCAAGAAAGACTTAACTCAGACGGCTCTTATGTAGACGGGCGCGTGTGAGAAATCTTTACATATGCGAATGAGTAAAAGAAAACTTGTTCAATCGGGTAAATGGTTCCACTGGTTGTTTACTTCACCTGCTCGAATGAGAGACTGGAAGTGGTTAGGTAGGTAGGTACCTGTTGAAATGGTTGTTAAGGCACACGTCAATTTTCGAGCATATTTCAGTTTGCCATAAACATGAATAAAGATTTGAACGAGCTTTAAGCTTACCATATTGTAACGGTACTTTTTCGGTCCGACGAAAAAATTCAAATGAAAAAAATACTCGTTAACTTACTATTTGCCTAAATAATAAGTTAACGGCGATTATTTTAAATCCTAGGCCTATTCTTATTAAATTTTCAGTTCAGATAGGTTCAAGTATAGATTGTTCCTTGGAACATATCAGAATAATTGCTTTATCATTTGTAGAACTTATTCCGGTGAATTACTAGGACAAATCGTGTATAAGATACCTTTCTTACGATGCTGTGGTTATCCAGTTTATCATAATATTTTGGCTGGAAAACTTGATTAAATTATTTCAATACATAATTAAATAATTTTCCGCAATATCTTTGTAAATTCATTAATGTATTTCCCAGCGTTAGTTGAAACATACAGTAATAAATTCAGTCGTGTTTTGGCAGTTTTAGACTCAATTAAAATTAGTTATTTTTTACAACGAATAAATGTATAGATTTAAATTAACGTGTTTACATAAAAATCATTGAAAAAGGTTGAATCATTGAAGATAGTTGAATATATTATTTTATATTTCAAACGTGTTCCAGTTAGCAGTTGAAACTTGCAAAATATTGGAATGGATGCTGTTTTGTATTCTTTGGGACTAATTTGACAAATATTACACACCATGGCTTTCACGGAATTCCCGGGAATTGGGAATTTATTTATTTTAGGGACTAGAAAAGCATTAAGTTGATTTCATCAGAGTTATTTTTTTCTTTTGTAGAACGATTTATAAAGTATAGAATAGTTTAACCACTTGATTTAGATATTTTTACTTCCATCGGAAAATTTAGAGTGTTCAATTTTTTTTCCAGCTTCTTCCAAATTTTTGTTACGGCTAGTCTCTGGACTTTCTTTTGACCCAAAAGATATTTCCGAACTCTCTCAGAACCCGAGAAAAGGATTATACCAAATTGATAAGAACTTCTGATACCAGGTTATCAAGATGTGATAACTGAACTTGCTATCATTGTAGTTGAATAAACAGTCAACATAACAAAAACTATAACAATAGAATGCTTCTGGGTTATCACAAAAATAACTGATTTAGTTATCACTGAAAACATCTTGATAACAAATCCTGTGATCATACCATTTTTTTCAAAAAATTTCAAATCGATTTAGTATTTAAGCCTTACGCTGATAACTGAAATATGATTTGCAATGTTTTTTTCATACCTTAGATAATATTTGAAGTTCTGAACTAACCTTGTATTTCATATTCTTTCATGATAACAACTGAAAATAACATTAGTCGAGATTGATAACTAAATTAGTTATTCGATAACAACTGAAAACAAAATGATATCTGGGATAACAAGACTTGTTTTCAAGATGATATCAGCACAGACAAACAGACATAACACTTGCAAGTTGTTCGTCGAACAAGCATTTAACGGACAATTTAAAAGTATCGTAGTTGGTAGTACCGTCACCTGTGGCGCGCATAGTCAATTCCCTTGCGTTTGACGTTTACACACTGCCGCCATCTGTTCAGTGAGTGCCCACCAGAGTGTACTCAACAGATGGCGGTAATGTTTTAGCGACGATGTTTTACAGTGAGAAATATCCAATGTGTTATGTCTGTTTGTCTGTGATATCAGGTTGTTATTTTACTTTGCTCGGGAAGTCTCATCCAACTTTCATCGGATTTCATCCGAAGTTTCTTCCAGAAGTCCTTGGAAGTTTCTTTTCAATCGTTTTTGATTAACCCAGAAGTTGTTTTTTTCTACATCCCCGGAAGCATCTTCCGACTTCCCTTGGCTTCATATGTTAATTTCTGATTTCTTCGAATGTTTTGCTTGGCCTATTCCTGTAATTTATTCTGGCTTTCGTCGGAAAACTCAAATTTCTTTTAACTCATCTAGGAAATTTCTTATAACTTTCACCCACAAAAATCCTTCTGAAACTATTTCCCGAGATATAAGAACAGTTTCCCCGGAATCGGGAAACGTGATTTTGGTAAATTTCCCGGGAATGGTTTGCTTGGATGTCCTATGTAGGAAATCGGGAAGATTTGTTTCAAAATCCAATGGCTATCGTTGTCAGGGTCAATTTCGAAAGATTTTGAATACTTGCAATTGCAATATATGCATAAAACGTCATGATTTCCCATTTGAGAACTATTTGTATACACATTTGGGTCATTTGGTCCCCTACCTTAGGTAGTGAGCTAACAGGTTAGGTAGTGAGTTAACAGGTACGAGAAATTGGCTTTTGAAGACGTTGATTACAAAACCACTTGTATCCATTTGATAACTTATCCTTGAGTTCCGGTGTGGACAGCGCTTGAGTCTAAATCTCAATGTGAATTAACCGTAACAAGCGCGTAAAAGAAGCTGCATCGTCAGGTAAAGGGTGATACGGTCAAAATTTGGTCAATATCAACTTGACGTATTTCTTTCAATTTTGCATTTAAAAAACCTGAACACCCCTCATTTTGAAGGTGTGTGTGTGTAGAATGTTGCTCCTATTTTGATTTTGGAATTCACTCTTGAGTTGTCAAAATGCCGTCCAAGCAAGAAGAGCAGCGTATCAAAATTTTGCTCGCGCATCGCGAAAATCCGAGCTACTCGCACGCAAAGTTGGCAAAATCGCTAAAAGTTGCCAAATCAACCGTTACAAATGTAATTAAAGTGTTTGGGGAACGTTTGTCGACAGCCAGGAAGTCTGGATCGGGGGGAAATCGAAAACCGGAAGCCGCTGAGACGACAAAGAGAGTTGCCGGTAGTTTCAAGCGAAACCCTAACCTCTCTCTCCGAGATGCCGCAAATAAGCTGGGTGTATCGTCTACAACCGTGCATCGAGCCAAAAAACGAGCCGGACTATCGACTTACAAGAAGGTAGTGACTCCAAATCGCGATGATAAACAAAATACGACGGCCAAAGCGCGATCCCGGAGGCTGTACACGACGATGCTGACGAAGTTTGACTGCGTGGTAATGGACGACGAAACCTACGTCAAAGCCGACTACAAGCAGCTTCCGGGACAGGAGTTTTATACGGCAAAAGGAAGGGGAAAGGTAGCAGATGTTTTCAAGCACATGAAACTGTCAAAGTTCGCAAAGAAATATCTGGTTTGGCAAGCCATCTGTACCTGTGGCTTGAAAAGCAGCATTTTCATAGCTTCCGGGACTGTCAACCAAGAAATTTACGTGAAAGAGTGTTTGAATAAACGTCTGCTGCCTTTCCTGAAGAAACACGGTTGTTCCGTACTGTTTTGGCCGGATTTGGCATCTTGCCATTACGGTAAAAAGGCCATGGAGTGGTACGCCGCCAACAACGTGCAGGTGGTTCCCAAGGACAAGAACCCTCCCAACACGCCAGAGCTCCGCCCAATTGAGAAATACTGGGCTATTGTCAAGCGGAACCTAAAGAAGACCAAAAAAACTGCTAAGGGCGAGCAGCAGTTCAAGGCAAACTGGCTTTCTGCGGCGAAGAAGGTGGACAAGGTGGCTGTACAAAATCTGATGGCAGGGGTCAAGCGTAAGGCCCGGCAATTCGGATTTGGAAAAGCGGAAGCCTAACTGAATATTTTTCCTGAATTTTATACTAATTGAACTTGAAAAAGAAATTTAATTTGATTTTTTAAATAAACGATTTCACCGATTTACACGCGTTTTCCCTTGACCAAATTTTGACCGTATCACCCTTTAAACCTCACCATTTGCCTTTCTTGTAAACCTAGGTGTACCGAAAGTTATAATATCACTAGAAAAAAATCATTTTCAATAAAGCTCCAGAGAGTCGAGTGCCATCCCAACTAACATTTTCAGCTTTATAAGCCAGGTTTTCCAGCATTGTGCTGTCTTTACAGCTGAAAAAAAATCTGTAAATACAGCTACAAGCAGAAGCTAGCAAAATAGTTTTGAATAGCGTCTACTCAACTTTTTGACAACCATTTATTCAATTTGTCAGTCGCACTGAATAACAGCAGCCAATAAACGCTAATGTCACTTCAATGCAAATATTTATCAACTTTCAACTTGTCGCTGCCACAGGCAAACAGTCATAACTCTGGCAATTTGTTTATCGAACACGCATTTAACGGTTAATTTATTTTTAGTTGGTGGTATCGCCACCTACATATGGCGTGCATAGTCAATAAACCTTGCGTTTGACGTTTACACACTACCGCTATCTTTTCAGCGTACTACCCATCACAGTATGCTCAACAGATGGCGGTAGTGTTTTAGCGACGATATTTTATATTGAAAAAGATGCAATGTGTTATGCCTGTTTGTCTGTGATGTTACTCATTTAGCGGTGCTGGTGGTGAAGTGGTAAGCGTGATTGCCTCTCATCCCAAATGGACTGAGTTCAATTGCAGTCGGCGCCGCCGGGATTTTCTTAGGCATAAAATCTTTGATCACGCCTTCCTTTGGAAGAGAAGTAACGCCGTTGGTCCCCGGTCTATGAGTTTATGGGTTGATAGGTATGGTCCAGGTGTAGAAGCTGCCTTCCTGGCGTCGGTAGCATTGGTGCTCAGCAGGGAAAACAAGGTCGACGGAAAACAAATCAAGGAAAAAAAACCTATAACACGTCGGTAGCATTGGTACTCAGCATGGAAAAAAGGATCGACGGAAAACAAATAAAGGAAAAACAAATATTTCTCATTTGAAGGCTCCTGCAAAACCAACCAGTCTTGCTGAATACCATAAACATCA